TGACTAAGTTCTGAGTTCTTTTATATATAGCTTCTTTGTGCCTGGTCTGCTTTCTGTTTGATATTAGACCATAAAGTCTAAGTGAGGATAATTTTTTCCTTCAAATGAAAAGAACCTCTTTTTTTTTTAACATGCAAGTTCTAATTTTTATTGAAATTGTTGCAATAAAGGGAGTTTGACCATTTATTAAAATATGGTACAGCATTTAACAGATTTTATTGATACAATCTATTAATCCTTTTAAACTCAATCGTCATTCTGAATGAGCTGTTGTTTTAACATTTTATTGAAAAATGCTTTTGAGTGTTATGAATGGTGATACGTACACTATATTTTTACAATGCTGTAACTATATTTTCGTTATGCTTTCTGCATTGCAGAATTTTAAACACTCTAGGTTGATGACAAAATTTTTATGCAATATAAAAGAATTATATTAACCAGTAGTACCATTTCATTCAGTCTTGCTAACTGATTAGCAAGTATATTGAATTTGTATCAAGTATGGTTTTCCTGTATTCCACTTGCTAAGAAAATATGCTTAAGGAATTGCTTAGAAATATTGATTTGCAAACTTATTTATATAATTAACGTGGTTTCTTTTGGCAGTAACTTATGTGAAAGTGTTTTATAGTAGTCAAATTTAGATTTATAATATTAATAGAATTTCTAAATCCATCATGTAATATTAATTGTATTTGCAAAAAATAATAGTAGCAGCTGTTAGATTGATATGATTTCTGAAGCCTGGTATTTTTATTCTCAATTGCTATCCTATCCCATGTACTCAGAACGATGTGAGAGGATAGTGCTGCAGGTACTTGAACTAGCACTGATCTGTCAAACCACCATGCATTGATGATATAGATTCATTGATATTTATTGCAGATTTTCATTGTATTATTTGCAATTTTTTCATTGAATACTTGTGAAAATCTTTTTGACCCTACAGTCATGTTAAGTGTTCTAGGACTTGCCAGCATTCTAGATTTGTAGGTTGGTTTCTTGGCTTTACAGTGCATTTTCCCCTGCATTCTCATACACTTACTTTGTAATTAATATTTTTTAAATACCTCATTTTTATTTCTACTTATTTCTTGAAGATTAAAACTTTCATAAAAACCTTTTTCTTTCATTATTTCTCTTTCTTTTTCTTTAAACATTCATTTTAGGATTGGCTCCATGATGATGTTTTAAAGGATTTGTCTATTTTGTTTATGTACTTGTTTATATCTCGTCCGTAATTTTTTTTGCTTACAATTTTTCTCATTTTCATATTAATGTGCTTTCTTTGTTTCATTATTTTCTTGTTTATCCCAACAGTTGAATAACCTGTTTATAGAAACAGTAAATATAAGCTTTGCTTATTTTTTAAGCCACATATTTTGCTTTTTGATCAGTTATTGGAGCATTAACACATCCTTCTTCTTTCTTTTCTTTTTTTTTTTTCTTTTTCTTTCTTTCTTTCTTTCTTTTTTTTTTTTAATAGATAGTAGTGAACTAGAAGTTAAAAGCTGAATCAACTTCTTTCACTGTTCTAGTCTGCATTCTTTTATATTTCAAATTTTCAAGCATATAACAAAATGCTAATTAGTGGTTAAAATAACTGATATTTCAGCTCTTCGTACAGACAAATTTATTTCTGTATTCCCAAAACATTATGCAACTTTACTTTAACCTCAATCACATGTAATGGCTGGCAGATAGCCCTAGTTTGCTTTGTCATAACTAAACCCAAACCACATTAATGGCATCAACAACTATATTTCTGTTTCACTGAGAGATCAGTGAAAATGTATGGACCCCTTATTAGTTAATTACTGTTTAATACTGTTTTCATAACAGCTGTTTTTCTTTGCTTTACTTCCCTTAAATGCTGTAATTTTATGCTGCAAGATTTTAGGATATTAACAAATGGAACAATTAAATAAATCCATTCTATGATTATTTTTTGACCTTGTTCGTATGTGGCATACTTTTAAGTTGTGATAATGAAGGTTATTGCTGATTGTGCTGACTGACTTCTGAGACTTGTGAGCATTTATTTTTTAATAAATTTATAAAAGTGATTTCTGAATATCATAAGCTGGAAATAAACTGTTTATTTTTAGCCTGTATCTTTGTGCTCAAAAGTTCCTAAAAATATTTATATATTGTTTGTGTTTGTATATTATGGTACAGTACAAAGTCCGAGATCCGGGATCATCAAGACTTGGAGCATCAGTTTAAATCTAATAATATTATGTGCTGAAATTATTAAAAAAAAATCCTCATTGATATTTCTTTAAGAAGGTGTTATTTTGTGTAAAGAAAAAACATTTTTTTTTTTTAATTGGCAGCACATGAAACTAAAATGTGACTCAAAACCGAAATGGCAATATTTTCTGGATTTAAAATCATGCACTAATGTTTGTGAGAAAAGCAACACCATGAAAAGAATTCTCAGAAATGAATGATACTTATACCTTATATTACTGATAGTGGTACAAATAAACGATCAAATTTACAAGGCAAAAAAAAAAAAAAAAAAAAAAAAAGAACATCGGAAGTCGTTACTTTGTGTGTCTGCCACGTTGTGCAATGAAGACTTTGCACGTTGTGGCATTGATTCATACAAGGTTCTGAATGTAATCTTGGGGAATGGCATTTCATATGGCTTCAACTTGATGCCAAAGTTCAGTCTTAGCGTGTGCCCCACCAGCTGTATGAGCAAGTTGCCGACTGATGAAATACCAGACATGCTTAATAGTGACAGCCCATTGATCCTATCCAAGGAATAAGCAGGCCATGAAAGAAGCGAAACCTGTTATGTCCTAAAGAAGGCTTGTGCAGTCTGAAGAAAATGCGCATGGGCATTATCATGTTGAAATACAACACCCGGAATGTGTCAAAGAATGGGAGGACCTTTGGCTGCACAACTTCCCGTATGTAGCGATCAGTGTTCAGGTTCCCCACAATCTGCACTAGGTGGGATTGAGAATTATCCCCACGGCATGGTCCGGGTGTTTGTGCAGTATGACGCTGGATAACACAGTGTGGAAGCAGACATTCCCCTCTATAATGTTTGATGCATACTTTTCCATCATTGTACTCCAGATTGTAGTAAGATTCATTGGAGAAAACAACTTGTTGCCACAGGGCATGCCGTGCACTGTGTTGCCATGTCCCTTGAAGTCGGAGGTATCTGTGATTCAGTGACGGGAATCCTGCATAGAGGAACCCTTGCAATCAGTTCATTCTGCAGCAGACGGCGATGAACCATGGAGCTAGACAACACCTGTAGCTGTGCTCCAGTGTTGTGCTAACACATGAGAAAATGCTGTACAATCCATCACAGCCATGCAGATGAGGTCTCTTTTGTCAGATGCTGTTGTACTATTGCATGTCCCACTGTCACGATTTTGCCTTGTTTGGTTCTCCTCTGCCCATTTCTTCCAAACATTCATCACTGTTGTAGCATTACACCCTATCGGCTGCGATTGCTCGATATGAAAGTCCACCCCCTTGCATACTGGGAATGGAGCCTCTTTCAAACTCTGTTAGTTGTTGGTATGGTAGCCCGCTGTTGATGAGGCATATTGGCCACTAATTGAACGTTCACCACAGACAGAGGATGAGAAATAGATTTCAGTGCAAGTTTACAGTCCTTTATGTAGCTGGAACAAGTGGCCGGTTCTCATTTTACATATGTGGACTCACTTTGTAAGTCTAATCATTAGCATGTTTTACCTCACTTTATATTTCCTATAAATTTGGTTCAGTTTCCATAATACTTTCATGGTGTTGCAGTATTCACAAACATTAGTGTACTACAATATTAGCCATTCTGTTAAATGATTGATGTTTGTGACATTGCCATTGCAACATAAGACTTTAGTCATGTCCTCATTTATTAATTGGATGAAGAGATAACTAATCCATTAATTGGAAAATTTCACTTTTTCTTACGATACTTGAAAAACCGCTTGATTTGTGGTTCTTATCATCATCATCATGCAATTTGGTAGCTGGCTATAAATTACACCAAGCATTTAAAAAAATAGCTGCAAATTCTCTCATGGTCTTGCCATGCCCCGCCCATCATATTTTATGTTAAAATGCTTCTAGAACTCTTGGATAGTCTTACTTCAACATCAGTTTTTAAAAAGCTGCTTTGTATCTGCATTTCAGTGGGGATAAAATTCTGATTGGCTGATTGACAGATGTACAGTTTTGGGGAAAGAGTAAAACAGATGTTATCATTTACTAAAACCATAATTTTGATAAGATTAATTATAGATGTAACAAAAAAAATTAATTATAGATGTAAGCTGCTTCAAATCAGAAAGTTAAGGAAAGAACGTAATTTTCAATGTTAAACTTATTGTTTAGGCAGGTTAGGTACCAGACATTTTCCTGCCCAGTGCAATATCTGCAACTTGTTAGTTCTGGGGCTCCTAAAATCTGCCATACAGTCTGGCTGCATAGGTTACACTAACTGTAACACAGACCCTGCATTTAAATCAGATAGAAAAATGCTTATTCCTCAACCATTCAAGAGCTGAAAGTTTCGTCGGGGTTACCATCAATCAATGTATAGTCATTGGCCTTGACATCTTCTGTAGCCCGCAAGTGCTTGAAAGTTACATATCACAGTTAGTATGGAGAAAAATGATTTTTAAGGCACACCTGCTTTTTCTCGATTCCTATGCTTTGTAAGAGGGGAAAGAAATGTTTTTAGTGGTCCTTATGTTATATCATTCTATCCTGACTGAATGTCCGAATTTCAGACTTTGTACTGTATTTGTTTTGCTTTATATGAATCCATTAGAAAAGTAGGTATACTGGTATGTCAGGTTTTGCATTTTTGATTCATTTGCATGCATTTTGTATGTATTTTTTTGTTATGCTTTTGTTATCTTTTCCCTTAGAAATGTATCTGAATGATTAATAATATTAATATATATTTAGTGAAAACATTAAAAAGCAAATAATTAATACGTTTTTAAAAATATTTTTAGGTTCAAAACTTAGTGCAAGAAACTTTAAAGAAGCATGGCCAAATAGATTTTCTAGTAAATAATGGTGGAGGTCAGTTTCTAAGTGCAGCATGTGATATTTCAACAAAAGGATGGGATGCTGTGATAGAAACAAATTTAAAAGGGCCCTTTCTTATGTCAAAAGAAGGTGGTTATTGTATTGTTCTCTAAAACTGTCTGCTATGCATCAGAGTTGAATACATTTTATTTGCAGTTGTAATCGAAATAGATTCATACAAGTCCAGACAGATTCATATAAAAAATAACTATTCCTGATTATCTAAGCCAGAATAATTAGAAAGGTCATAGAAGTTACATTGCGGATAATGGAGGGGGGACTTACTTAAAAAAAAAGGCTTTTATTCTGCAAAATAAGTTTTACTGGCTATTTCATTAGGTATCAATAAGTGCATTTTTCTTACTTTTTAATGTTTTAACCTGTTAAAATGCCAATTATGTTTTGAATAAAATGTTTATTATAGTCACTATATCTACATCATATTGAGGTTTAAAACACAAAATTTCATTGGTATAGATTTTAAGAAATATGTGTGTTTGCTAAGACAGATTGCTCTGCTTGTTAAGAGAGAGAGAGAGAGAGTTTTCTGTAGTTAAATCCTTTCACTTGGTGATAGTTTTTCTTGTACGATCTGATGGTGGTTTCCAGAGCTCTTCCTTCTGTTGATAGTAGTTATTTCAGAAAATATAATGCACGTAATTTAGAGAAATTTTAGAATGAGACACTTAATTTCTCTGTTTCACTGATTGTTGTGAGGTATGAAAATCAATGGGTCTGGCTTTAAGATTTTCTCAGCCGCAATTGAATAGTGGTTTAACATCCAAAGAGATCATAACTGAATTATGGCGAGATAAATTCCTGAATTTGTAAAAAAAAATAAACAAAATTTTTACGGCTATGCTGTGTTGTAATGAAGGAAAACTGGTGAATAAATATTTCTACATGTCATATTTTATGTATTTGAATAAATAGGATAATAAGAAACAAAATTTGATGTTCTTGCACTTCAGGCTAACATATGCACAGCAGGAAAGAAGGGGGAAAAAATTATGCAGAAATAATGTTTTGAGAAGATGCAAAGTATAATTTTCTTTTTTTGGTGGGGGGAGGATGGTTAGAAAAGCACTGGAAAGTACTTCTTGCAGCCATCCAATCTCAATTTGATTTTTCTTTTTTGTTACCTTATATGTGTTTGGTTAAAAAATTTCTCTCATGTTTTCTGCTGTAGGTTGTGCCAAGGGACTTTATGAAATGTAGGTTACCTCTCTGTCACACTCAGTGCATGCTCACTGGAATTTACATTTAATGTATATCATCAATTTGAAGAAAAGTTTTGATTATATAAAATCAGTATATGCATTCCCTGGATATGAATTGTATACCTATGGCAACTTGAAAAGATGAACATGAGGTTCTAATAAATTTTCTGTATACCTCTTGCCAAATGTTGTATACCTAATCAGTATTATACTCGCATGTATTAACATTTTAGATGTGAAGGAGGGTGTAGTATATTCGCCATTGCTCCAGATATTAGATTGGCCAGAATCAGTCTGAAGATTAAATCAGGGCTCATTAGTGAAAACCATGTTGCTCCACTAATGCATTCTCATTTAACTGCATGCATGCATGTTTGTGTGTCTGAGGGAGTTAGAAACAACTGTTGAATGTATTGTATGTAGATCAGTTTACCTGATCCTCCTGTTAGCAGTTTGCATAAACATTTCATCTATGATTATCAGTTCTTTTGAGACATCAGGGCATTAACATGAGGCAGTAATCACATTGAGGACTATAATTTATAGCTGAGCTTATAGTTATTTTTCTTTACCCTTGTTGATGTAATTGTCTAAAGTGCGGTAGAATCTTCGTCACAAGTCAGAGACATAAACGCGCAATCAGTGTTGTGAGAACATCTGTAAAGTTTTTTTTATTAATTCCATCATTTTAATGATTAGGTGCTTCAGAAAGATCAGTATAGCATCTTTGTGTGATAATCAGTTAATACTGAGCAATAATATGAGCATTTTTTGTAGAAATTATGAAAAATTGGAAATAAGACAGACAGACTCTGTAGTTAACTGTATTTAAAGAGTTGTGATACATGCATAGTATTTGTATATACATTGTCAAGTAACAAAACTATCATTTTCACAAAGATTGACAGGTTTATGTGTAATGTACAAGCAACTTCATTCTGTCTGCTTTATCCCATGTCAGACTCTCCATATAGTGAATAGGCTAATAATAAATAATCTACACCCTGAAATAAATGGGCATTTTGTAACTTGCAATGGACTGTGGATATGATAGAAATGCTTATTCATATAGTCTATGAAAAACAGGGGAAGAAAAAATCTGAAACTTTCAGATTTTACATTACGGCCAAAGTAGCGTTCTTTTTAACGTTTTGTGTGTTACCTTTATTTATTAAATAACATGTTCTTTGCACTTAAGCCATAAAATTCAGTTCAACAGCAATATCTCAAAATAATTTAAAAATGAGCATATCTTTAGAATTTCTGATATGCAAGCTCGCATGCTGGATATGAATATATATATATATATATATATATATATTTCCATACAGTGTTGCCATTGCTCGCTTTTAAATCATTGAGTTTGTTAATAAAAAATTCCTTAAAGTTTTACAAAATATGAAATAGGTAATGAAATAAATTCCAAATTCTAAATTTTGGCTTCCAGATGCTCATATTCGGGTGGAAATGTACGTTATTCAAAATTTGATGGCTCTAGGTACTGTTGTTTTATCACTAAGTGAGAAACGTGCATATATTTATGCAGATTCTTCATTATTTAATTTCTTTAAATATAATACAGGGCTCTAATATTTGGTGGCAACAATTTGAAAAGTAAACCGACATTTCAATGCAAAATGCCGAAACAAAATTAATAGTCCTTCTGGGCAAATTGCGTCTTTGACTAAAAAAAAAAAAAAAAAAAAATTGTTTTGATTGTTCTGAATGGTTTATAATTTATGCCTCTTAACCAAAAGCTTAGGCACATAAGTCATATTTTTACAATTTTTCATTCCTAAATTTGTTCTTACCTTTACTAAATATTTCATCACAGGCTTTAATGCACAAGTATCCTCACATGCCTGCATATAAAAAAACTTTAAAAAAAATACACCTATTGAGGAAGCAAATTTATGAGGGTGCCATGATAAGAATTCATTCAGAAGGACAGAAAAATTAAGGGTGCTCCTATGTAAAGGAGCACTCACTAACTGATGATAAGTTTCTGGCTTGAAAAAGTAACCTTGAAATTTTGATTTCAATGACTGATTAATTAATTAAGGTGGAGATGAAATAAATTTTCAGCTGCTTTATGGAAAACAGTGACTTTGCCCTATGAAAAATGCTGAATTACTACAAATCTGCCTGTATTAGCATCAGGATGCTCAAACCTTTAAGTGCAGAATGCCAAATTGACTTTACAGTAATGTGCTACTGATGTTTTTGTCAGCTTCAGGTTTTGCTTCTTGAAATGTGCCCCAGGCATTTCAGTAAATTAAACCTTACTTTCATTGAACTGACAAACTGCTGTATGCATAAGGGGTAAAAAATATGGCATAAGGGGTAAAAAATTGTTTGGATCTGGAAAGAATTTAGATAAATTAATAAAATGATTGAGATTCAGTTTTCAATAGTATATATATTGTTTGGTTTTTGGTGGTGTTGAAAGTAGTAGAAAATGTGGTTGCCTATTGAAAAAGCATTATTGATATAAGTGAAAGATAAGTTTTAATGATATTTTTATTAAGGTTTCCAAAATAGATGAACAAGGCAGTCTATTTCCCTTGGGATTGACTGAGATCCCTGCTTATTATTTACAAATGCCTGCTGGCTCCATGGCCAGTGACAATATATTGATTTGATGTAGGCCAGAATCACGCTTTTGGCCCTTAAGTAGTTGTGGGAGAGTAGTATGAAATGTTACCCATACTGGGTTTCTTTCATTAGCATAATGGTAAGGAAAGGAGGAAGATTCTGAGGAACCTAAGTTTGGGTAACATAACTATGTGCTCTTCCTTAACTTTCCTCTAATTTGACCCAGCTCATTTTTTGCAGGTTATTATTATTACAGTTATCTTACCAAAATTAAAGTTTAAATATTTGATTATGCCAAAAAAGTTTCTAACTCTGGAGCTGTAGCAGGATCTTCAAAGTGGAAACATGTTTCTATGTCAGTTAAGCAAAAAGTGGAATTGCTACAAAAAATGGATAAAAGCTTATGTGTCACAAAATTATGCAAGGAATATGGAGTGATTATTGGAAGTGAGCAATATCATTCCTCCTAATTCATGAGGAGTTACTTCTGAAGAAGGACTTATACTTGTTTGTCTTCAGAATTAATTGAGATCTTGACTGAATCTATGCTAAACACAAGGTTGTTGCTTTGCTAATTTTATGTTTCACTTTGGCGTATTTCTCTTCTGTTTTGATTTTTGCTACCAACTGGCATTTTCAGAAAAGTTCTTCCAGTTTGTTTGCTTGCACCATTTTGGGTTTTGCTTCTCTGTCCTCCTGATGAAGAAGGACCTGTACTTGTTTGCCTTCGAAATCTAATGAGATCTTGACTAAATCTATGCCAAACGCAAGGTTGTTGTTGCTTTGCTAATTTTATGAATGCTGATTGATTACCATAAGTTGTAGTAATACAATAGGTTTATTAACCAAATTTTAAAATTACCATGGCATAAGGCAGTTACAAATTTCAGGCAAAATTGCTTCAGCTGATACAGAAGTATCTGAGTTTGCAGATGAATTTATTGAACTCATTAATAGCAGAAAGTTATCTCCAGAGTAGATTAACAATGCTGACGAACTAGTCTTTTCTAACAAGTGTGCCCCAGAATTCCTTAGTGGCACATGCAGGAAAGGTTCTAGCTGGTATCAAAAATTCTGAAGTGAGGCTACCGATTTTTGCATATGCAAATGCGGCAGGAACATGCAAGTGTAAATTTTTTATAATTGGAAAAAAGTACACGACTTCGGGCGATTAAAGGAGTAAAGATTTTCCCCATTCTCTATTGTTCAAATAAAAGAGCATGGATGATGCAAGAATTAATGAATGTTTGTTTTAAAATCATTTTATATCTGAGGCTTGGAAACATTTGAAATTGTTTTACCAGATGATGTGACAATTATACTGGCTCTAGACTACTGTTAAACTCATATGGCATTTAAAGTGTTAGTAAGAGAGGAAATATCTGTCTTACTTTCTAGATCAGGGGTCCCCAGCCTTTTTGTCCCTAAGAGCACATTCTAGAATAACTGTTGGGCAGCGAGCACCATTTACTTTTTCAAGGTGAATTTATAGTTGAATGGAGTTAATAATACATGCACATAAAAAAAAAAAAAAAAGAGAGAGAGGGAGAGAGATCGGTTGCATTTCGCTTTGTGCTGGTATCTGTGTTAGACACAATTTCTATTTCATGAAAAATGAGAAAAATTTGCATAGACTTTTATTGAAAACTAAAACATTTTTATTGTGATCGCACAGCGTCGAGTTCAAGTTAAATGATCCATGGGCACCATGGTGCCTGCAAGCATAGGGTTTGGAATCTCTACTCCAGATTGTGCATCCATTGTTCAGTGGATATCAGATATGCTGAAATGCAGATATACAGTAGCCTTTTTTAAATCTGTGCTAAGTTTTCTTAACAATAGCTAGATCACTCATAAATTTTTTAAGTAATTTAATATAAAATCTGCTGTGTGGTGCATTCTAAGGTCATGGGAGAACATGTTCGCAGATACTTAAAAAATTCCTTGGCTTTACGTATGTACGGCCAACTACTGTATTTCAGGTGATAATGAGGATGATATCCACAAATTTGAAGATTTTGGGATATCACAAGCAAAAGACAAAACTTTCTGATTAGTGGAATTTGTGAAAAAATGGGGAGAAGTGAAATTAAAAGATATCGATTGATAATATAATGAGAAACCTCAACATGCCAATCACAGGGCTATGGACCTTTTTTTTTAAAAAAAAAAAAATTTGGATTTCCTTAAGATCATAAATGCTCCATGATTTCATATTTTTAATTTTATAACTTGTACTTATCATCTTACTGGGTTTAAACTGATAATCTAAGCTCCGGATATTGACATAATCTGGAATTGTCCAAGTCCTAATGATTCCACATCTTAAGACTTTGTACTGTATAAAAATTAGAGCTGCGGTAGACCAATTTTTTCTGCAATGTAAAAGTTGTTACCGATTCATTTTTTAATACTTTTGCCTTTTAGTCACTTGTTTAATTAAATTTTTTAAAAAATGTGCAAATAACATGAGAAAATCTCGTGCAGTTAAGATTCTTATGTTGAATGGTAATAATTTGTTTACTGAGAATTTTAATTAATTAACTAAAGATTAAAGTGTCTTGAATATTTAGATAGTCATTATGCAACCAATTCAGTAATCTTGGCCAAAACTTAGCATTGTACTAGAAACCTAACCCCTTGTCCTCTTCAAAACTATGCATAAGTTTTAGGGGTACCGAATTATTATATCTCAAAAGCATCAGATATTGGTCAATTGAAAGATGACAACTTGTATTCCATCACTTGCTATGTAAGACTGCTATAACCTGCAGTTTACTTGATTATCAAATATAAAACAAGTAACTTTACATCATATTTTATTTTCACTCAGTTTATCATTTGTTAGCAGAAAGTTTAAAAATAATAAAATATTTGTGGCATTTTGCCATGCAAGGCTGTAAGGAGCCAACTATTATATAGTGTTTAGGTGAAAAATGTGCTGCTAATTCCTGCTCAGAATTTGATGTACAAATAAAACATTCACTTTGTAAGCATTTTTTTCTTGTTTCTTTATTTTCTTTCTTTTTTGTTGTATTATGTATGTTTATAAACTATGGTGCGAAACGTTTAATTCTAGAAAATGTTTTTCTTTACCCTCCATAAGCTAAGGAGGTGCATAAATGTTGAAGATCATAATATTTTTTTTTCTGTTTCAGTGTATAATAAATGGATGAAAAATAATGGGGGTGTCGTTGTAAATATATTGATGGATTTTAAAAGAGGAGTTCCAATGATGGCGTATGTACTTCAGTGTTTTTTCCCCCTGTATTTTTTAGATTAAAGAAACATGTACATATAGCATGATTATGTGACTAAATATTACGTCAAATTATTATCTGTCTTCAAATCATGTCTTTTTCTTGCTTTTTAAATGTGTAATGTGGATATGAGTCAGTTTCCTTTAGAAAGTCCATCATGAAGGCAACCCTCTCCTTAGGCAAATATACCTCATATGTTTTGCCATAATCAAATAAACCAAACCATCTTGCATTTAATCCAGTGTTTGACTTTTTTTTAAAACTTTGTACAGTCAAAAGTCGTTAATTCGGACACCCATAATCCGGAATGATCTATAATCCGGACCTTGAGCTACAAATTTTCTGCGCATAGGCGTTTACGCGTGCGCGTAAGACCTTTACGGCTGCGAATTTGCGTGTGCGCAAGCGCATAGTACGTTTACGCATGCATGTTTAATGTATAACGGACAGTATAAGCTAAGCTAAAATTATCTAATTCAGTTAATGTTGCAGATTGCGTTGTTCCTTAATCTTCGAATTGGATCCGGCTTATTATTTTTTGCAGACTGTTAGAGCAATTTTATAAAAGTAAGCTTGAACTTTCCATTATGTCAAATAGAATTTCTGATATATATTTACTAATATGTAAAGGATCTACAAAGCGAGAGTATGTTTTGAAATCCGAAATCTGTTTATCAATTTCGCGCTGCTCTGCGGCAGGGGGGGGGCGAGAAATGCCGTGGCACGCAATGAATTGGAAGTTGATCTGTCAGCACTATCCTTATCTTCAGGGCAGATGTTTTTATTTTATTTGGCTTATAATTCCTTACTAAATGTAGTATTTCATCTCGATGTACTCGTCTTTGATATGATTTAAATCAAGTTCCTTGTCATTATAATTCGCTTCCGATAGTGAAGAAAGTGACAGAGAGGTTATTGAAAAACGAAAAAATTTCGATTGACAAATTAGTCGGTATTCTCGGCACAGCAATTATAGGACTTGAACAGTGGAACTTTGTAACTAAACAAGAAATTATGTCTGTTTAATAGAATTAAAGAGAAAGTATTGTCACATGAAATGAAGCAAGTTAAACAACTTACATTGAAAGAAATGTTTAATAAAGTAAACAAACAAATATTAAGCTTTTTCTTTTTGTAAATTTTGATACCCTTTAGATCATAATTGTTCTTTATTTCATAAATTACGGTTTCATATTTTTAATTTTGTAATTTCTGCATGCCATCTTACCAGATTTAAACTGATGATCTATAATCCGGAAAAATCAATAATCCGGAATCGCCAAAGTCCCGACGAGTCCGGATTAACGACTTTTGACTGTACTATGTATGTTATGTTTCTAATATTCTGATATTTTCTCATTCTCACAACAAGTGTACATCTAACTTCTACATTTTTTGTGCTTGTTTTACTTTTCTTAATTACTTACAATGAATTTTAAGGTTTTGTATTTTAAAAATTGTAAACAGAATTTTTTGTGGCATTCTGATTTCAGATGTTAAATCACATAACTGATGAATTTTTGCAATCACAGATGCCAAATTTCTGGCATAAATAGTTTTGTTTTCTGATAGTTAACCTGCCAGTATTGCAGTATGAGTTGCATACATTTTTAGGTCAGTCTTTGATATTATATATATATGCAGATTACCCTCTTTTGTTGACATTTATTATCTAAATTCAAAATAAATTTTTTAGCAGTTTTCTTTTTGCCCTTCTAAAAATTTGCTTTTTTGCGTACACAAGATGTACATGTGATATTATGAAAGGGATGATAACATCAAAGGGACATTTCAGAGATTTATTTCAGGAACAGCTACCAAATTAGATTTTGTGAGAACCATGTGTTAGCTTTTTCTGCCATCCTCTGCATGCATTCTTCTGAACTAGTATTCAAATCAATACTCATACACTTTGCGTCCATAAAAGTCTTTACATGGAATTTATGTTTGCAGCCATTTGTCATAGCTATATGCTCAAAATTGCAAAATTGTTTTAAAAGATGCAGATTTTCATATTATGGTATTTTTAAACTTTAAAAATCAGTTTTGTAAAGATTACAAAATGCAGTACCTGCCACTTATTAAAATTGCTTCCATTCCTAGAATATCTGAGTTTAAGTGGATCAGATTAATAAACAGTGATTTATAACATAACATATAATAAACAGCGATTTCAAATATGGTATCAACTTTGAACTTATTTAGTAAAATAATTAAGTAACAATTAATCTAATAATGAATGCCTGAATTATTAATTAAAAATTAAGGCTAAAATTAAACTGTTTACAAAGCTTAGATACAATTGTAATTATGTACTTTATGAAATGTTAAGCTTTTGCTACAAAGAACTGCTGTATCCGTATTTATTTTGCATTGTTTGCCGACAGTCTTTCAATTGTATTTTCAAGTTACAAAACTGTATGTAGCTTTTCTGGTCTCCATCTTTCAATTCAAGAGTTCTTAGAGATTGTAGTATTTTTTTCAGTTCAGCTGAGGTTGGCATGTATTCACCTTCTTCTGTGTCACTTTCACTGCCAGTTTCAGTTTCTGCAGCTCTTTTAACACTTTATGTAACATACATAGTCGGTGTTTTCATATGCTGTCTTAATATTATCATCAATTACAATGTATTCTGTAAATGAATCTTTGTAAATTCCCTCACTGATGTCTGAAGTATTAGAAATAGTTTGCAGTTTCTCTCTGGCTGCTTCTAAATAAAATCTGTATTCTCTAAAGCAATTACTGACTGTGTTTTAGGAGACTGCTTCCCATGCATTGACTATGATACGCATACCCTCTAGAAAACATATTTACTTAGTTATCTCCTTCAAAGTACTTACATTTTCACAAGATTCAATTTTTCTTCTTTTGAATGACACTTTTTCTGTAATTACATTTGAAAGCTTTTATACCTTGGCCTAAATGACTGAGTGATAGATGACGTATTTGCAGAAAGAAACACCAATTTAATGTTTTTCAGAATAACAGAGGAGTGTTGAGCACAGTTATCAAACAGTAAAGCTGTTTTTTTAATTTTTCAGTTCTCTGTCCCATTTCAAAAGAAAATCAGTAAAAGTACTGCTTGTCATCCGTAAGTCTTGTCATTATGGTAAGTTAAAAGTAAATTCTGGACTTCTTTTAAACATTGAGGTTTTCTGCTCTTTCCAATAACCACTGGTGTCTTTTTATTTGTTGTAGCCATGTTGCACATTAATAATACAATAACTTGTTCTTTTAATTTCTTAAAAGCAGCTGATGTTTCACATTTAAAAATAAATGTGTGCTCTGGTAATGCTCTGTAAAATAGACCAGTTTTACAGAGCTTTGTGTTACTAATTTCGTTTCATTACCCCTTTTGTGTGGCTTGCATTCTTTTAGAAGCCTGAGTAAAATGTCTTTTATCCATTTCTCAGCCAAATGATGATCTGCCCCTTGCTTCTCAACATGTAGTTTCCACTAAACAATGTTATTTCTCTCTCTCCATCTTGTGAGCCATTCATCAGTTTGCGCAAAATTTTCTTCTAGCAGTTTACTGAATTCTTCAACTTTTATGGTCAAAAGAGCTTTAGAAATTGGAACATTTTTTAATCTCATGGCTTGAAACCATTTCTAAGAGCAGTTTCAACATCTCTCGATTTTCTACCCTTTTTCGCTTCCTTGAGTCATTTGCATGTTTTTAGTAGTTCTTTATCAATTTATTTGTTTAAGAAAATCACACAGTGCTGTTTGGGAAATCCCAATCTCAAAAGCTGCTTCTCTTTGGCTGAATTTACCAAATGTATCAGAATCTTTCAGCAATTTATACTTTTTCATCAGGTTTAAATGATTTTGTTTAGACATTTGCAAATAAAAATATTTTCTTCCAGTGATTTGTGTGAATCCAAAATTTCTTGTTTCTTGCCGATATGAAGATTGCTTTGGCTCCTGGTAATTTAAAGGAAATTTGTGGCTGAGTTTATTAACCAGTCAGTTTAACAAGTGGCAGTCACTGTATGATTTTTCATGTGTTTCCCCGTTTCCCATAGTTACATTTAGTAAAAGTATATAATCATTGTGAAAAATAAAACATAAAACTTTTGTCTTCCATATGACAAAAATTGATCAAGATATTTGATTTTAATGTTTAGTGGTCATGCACAAATTAATCAGTAAAATTCTTGCATTTTTGCAGTGGCGTAGCAAGAGGGGGCCAAGAAGGTTATCATGCCTCTTGTGCCGCTCGTAGAAGGGTGCCAAATAGTTCCTAACACGAACAAGATTTTCTGGAAAATTTCGATTTTTTGATTGTTTTGGGGAAATAAGTTTTAAATGAATTATTATTGTAATATAATTAAATAGTTCCTTTCTTGGTTTGTCTGATGAAATATGTTATAAATAATGTTTGTAGTAAATCAATCAAATATGTCCCTATGCAAAATGTTCTTTCTCCTTTTTTCTGAACACTTAAAAAAAAAAAAAAAAAAAAAAAATAGTGAAATATTTTTTATTTTTTTAAAACAAAATATATGTGCAGCTCACACTTGTTATTTTAAAACTATAGCAAACAAAGAACTGTAGTCTTTTATTATATTATTAGCCTGTCAATCTTGAGCTATTATTAATTTGGCTGCTAAACTATAATAATCAAATAGTAAGTCATATTAAAAGCAATTAATATTATGGACTTTTATTTGGACTCCTGATATTGCTCATCGAGAAAAAATGTCACAAGGCTTTAGGTATGTAGATGTTGATTTTACCAGCAGATACGTTTCTTTCATGGGCTATCAAATGAAAATATAATTTAGAAAAAATAAATTCCGATCAGATTTCACTAACAAACATTACAACGGGAATTAAGAAATGCTTTAAAGAAAACTGTTGAATGTGAATCTGAAACAAAATAGAGTGCCAGAGTGCAAGTGGTTAGTGTTACTGTCGATGGGCTGGGAAAATTGGTAGAACTATTAGAAAAATTATCAGAGGACAGTTCTACCCAAG